GAATATAAACATTGCATAATTGATCTGCGCTCAAGTAGTCATTTGCCACAAATGTGGTTTGGTGAACCACATGGAGAGACCAGGATAGAGTTTGTCAAGCCGCTGTGGGAAACATTTTTATTTTAGACAAACCAATGTGACCTTATTGTTGGAATGTACAGCTGAAGCCATCATACTGTCAGAGAGTCGAGTTACAGGAAGGTCGCCGCTTGATTCGCCATACCAGAAGAGTTAGAGCAACGTTAAACAATCCCACTAATGCCAGAGTGAACTCACCTGCCACCTACTCACATACTTTCTGTTATTAATTTTCCAAATGATTTGGAATTGCTACTGAATCATTAGGTTCTTTTTGTTTTTTTCTCTGGACAGATTTTTGATAAACGTTTTCCGTCCTGCTGAGAATGAATATTGAAATGTTTGAACTTTCCATTGATCAAATAATCTTGAAAAAATATATCATGGTTTTTACAAAAAAATATTAAGCATCACGACTGTTTTCAACATTGATAATTATAAGAAATATTTCTTCAACACCAGCAATAAATATACAGTGACCAGCATTTTGTTTCTTTTTGTGAATCAAAATATATATATTTTTTTTTTTTCAAAAATTTGTTTTCAGTTCTGTTGGAATCTCAACAGACTAAATAAAATAAGTTATTTTAAAAAATGTCCATCTTATTCCCAATTCCCATCTCATATGGACATTGTATCCATTATATTCCACCCAAAAATGCCTAAATTGGTTTTAATATGCAATACATGATGTTGTTTGTTTTGAATCAGTATCCTCATATCCCTAATATCGAGACAGGGGTGCCGCAGGTCAGAGTAATGGGTGTGGCAGAAGGTGAATGATACAACAGAAACTTACCCCTAACCCTAACCAATTAGAAAGACCTTAATCCACGCCCCCTACCTTTCGGAACGCCCATGGCTCCAGCCTGCAGTTATCCCTACTTGCTAATATCCGGTTTTTCGGGATATCAAGGGCAAAATCTGTCCCAGGGTTATTGCAACAACCTGGAAAGGACATTGATTTTGAGACACTTTTCCATTGAAAAAGTTACAATTGAAAGCTCCTACCAAATGTGTACATGTGATGTTTTTTTATTAGGGATGATGATATATGTACAAACAATTTAGTCCTCAAGGATAGTGTACATCACTTCCTCTCAGAGAGAAATACTGTATGTTGGTGTAAGCTCTGTACAGATTTTGAATCATTGTTCTGTAGGTTGGGGGAGTCAGAGCTCCAAGGTGCACATCCATCACAGCACTTGGCTGCACTTCTCCGGACACAACCTCCGCTGGATCCTCACCTTCATCCTGCTCTTCATCATCGTCTGTGAAATAGCCGAGGGCATCGTGTCCGACGGGTGAGATTTATGTATCGATTTATCTGTCTGTCTGTGTGAATCTGTTTGTTTGTTTGTTTTTTTATTTGGAACTGGAAATGTTGATCCATGTCTAATATTGTTTCTCTCTCTCTCTCTCTTTCTCAGGTTTAATCAGTCGGTCCACTTGCACCTCTATATGCCATCATGTTTGGCCTTCATGGCTGCCATTACATCAATCGTCTTCTACCACAACATAGAGACCTCCAACTTCCCCAAACTACTGATGAGTGCGTGTCAGCCTTATAGTGTTTTTTGCTTATTAAGGACTGAGTTTTCTGTTATTTGGATGTGATATGCACATTTAATTCATAATGCAAATCACTTTTTAAAGAGTAATGTAAAGCATCATTAACTGTAGTATGCATCTTTTGAAAGAATTGCTCCAGCTACATTCGCACAGATCCCATATTTCTAAAAAACGACTGTATTGCAGTGCTACAGACTAAGGGCCCTTGATGGTGCAAAGCTATTATCCAACTACAGTTTCATTTCCAGAATAAAATTGTTTGTTACAATGACTTCAAATCATCTGAACATTGTCTAGACTAGAGATTAAAGTCACAGTCCTGTAATGACATTCCTCGGCGGCAATATTTTTGAGGACGGAAGGACGTTTTAAAGATACGCTAACCATATTTATCCTCCTGTCTCTGAACATCTGGAGTGAGAAGCCATTTCAAAGTTTCGCCTGCTGTGCAAAACCAGCAGAGACTGATGCCTTCAGTGCAAATGTGTGGAGAGGATGTGATGTCATATATCATTATTTGTCTTTCACAGCTTTGTTCATTTACTGGGTTCTGGCGTTTGTCTCTAAAACAATCAAGTTTTTCAAGTACACGGAGCATGGCATCGGCCTGAGACAGCTGCGCTTCGGGATCACAGGCTTACTG